ATCCTGCGGGCAGGACTTACACTGGAAAAGTGTGGGGATTTTTTTTCCTCGTGTAGGGGATCGACCGAAGCAAGGGAAAAATGGTGTAAAGACTCCTCCTCCTTTAAGAAAGGAGCGGCAGTGAACAACATGGATGAACTGACCTGTACTCCCCCATTCCCTCAGGAACGAAAGGAAATAGGGGGTGGGGAGGTGGTTGTGTTTAAGATCTGGCCTTGTTCTCTCTTTCTCCTCTCAAGTAACCGGCTTTGTTCCCTTGTGTCTCTTGTTAAGTAACTGTTAATAAATTGTTTTGTTTTAAGAAAAAGCCTGAGTCATGTTTTGCCCGGGACCGTGGTTGGTGGGTGCTCCCTCTCGGTTCTTGTCTCGACCCTCAGTCCAAAAACCACGACAACAACGCATATACACGTCCTCATTTTAACATGTCAGAAAACATGCCTTTCTAGTTCTGTACCTCCCTACCATGTACAGTCTTTTCTCCACCATTTCTTGATTATTAATGTGTCTTCTGCCTGATTTATCCTTTTCTTTTGAGTTCTCACCAGAGTATATCCGGAAATTGTTGCACGGTGGAAAAAAAAATGCTGTGTATCCAAAGCCACTGTTAGACAGCCTTCGAAGAAACAGTTAAAGATATTACAGATGCTCCTTACTGACTTTACAGTGAGCTGGCACTAACATCTGTTTGGGTGTTCTCTTCCCTTTCAGAAAAAAACAAAAATCAACTTTCTAATTCAACCAGATGCTACAAGCAGCATAAACTAAAGCACATGCCTGTGCTGAAGCAGATGAGGAACATGTATATGCTGTTTCAGAAGGCTCAGCTGTGAAGGCACTAATTTATAGCTGAAAGAGTGACAAAATTTTCAACCACTACAGCTGTTCATGGACTTTCATCTGACCATGGCCAAGCTTGCATTTCAAATCTCGACATCTTCACAAATTTGTGTATTTTTCCATGGCGTATCTCAGAATATAACTTTGTACAGGTACACAAAGTACATGTTCAGTCCTCCAGTACGATGCATTTCTAAACATGCAAAGACAAAGATGACTATAGGAAAGAGGAAAGATATATGAACAGATTTAAATAAGAAATTAAGTAGGGAAAACAGTATTTGCAGAAATCATTGGTGGTGTAAGTTCTCTTCTTTTAAGATTTCAGCTCCTGCTGACTGTGGTCATCTGAGTAGTCATTGCATATTTTCAAAAACCACAGTTCCAACAGAATTACTGAAAAGAGTTAGTACTGCTGCATCTTTATCACACTTCAGGGGACCATCTCAAAAGAAGAAGCATCAGACTTCCCGAGGCAGAAAAGATTTGCACCAGAGGACATGTGATCTCCATCTTAGAAGCATCTTTGCATCCATCAGTGATTTAAGCTTATGTAGTACACACATCCCTTGTTACCGTTAGGAGACCTATGAAACTATAGCAGAAAACTGCTGAAAGCCATAAGCTGTCTGGAAAACCAGGACAAAACTGAGTTTAAATGCTCGTCTCTCATGCCATACCCAAACAGTCAGATCCTCTTCTGGATAGACCACATGGCTTTTCAATGGCTTCATGATCTCCGATGAGACACTTTTTCCCAAAAGCAGCCAAAATGGCTTGGAAAGCCATAGAACACACCATGGAAGATGTTTTTATATAATTAAGCATTCATTTGAGAAGAGTAACCACCACACCATGAAACACAATTCATTTTTTTTTTAGGAGATATTACCATGACAAAAAAATTGCACACATTTCCACCAGGCACGTACACTTAACAGTATCTTCATGCATTACTAACTGCTGTCGAGGTGCTCATAACAGCATGAACCCAATTTTGACAACACAGATCAACACACTGAAAGTTTAGCTGGATAAAGGAAACCTTGTAATCCAATTCATACAGAAAAAGCAGGCCACACAGAATGCTGCAAGCAGCAGACTGGTGAGGTTTGATCTTTTGAAGGTTTTCCCTTTCCAAGAGAGACAGCATGAAAGGTCTTGTGACAAAAGTCAAAACTGCTTCAGAACAGACACTGCCACTATTTCACTCTTTCTAGGAATCCTGTTTTAGCAAGACATCCCTGCCCCACCTCTACACCAGGTACAGAGCCAGTCTGCCTTACAAACTCATTGAAACTGCTGAAACTCTTAAGACAGGGCAAAGCAAAATTCTAAACTGAAACTGATAAGCAAGTACAGCTAAAGAAGTTCATCTGACAGACGCTGGCAGGCAATAGCCCAAAGCAGATGTTCATTTTCCATCAAAACTGGGGGTCCAACCCAGACCACATCCTTTGCAACTGTGTGGTTTCTCCTTTGCAATCACTCTTATGCTTTTGCACAATACTTTCCTCTTCCGTGCAGTTTCCAAGATGCAGGACTAAACCTATCAATCCCAAGACACGAAACTGCCCTTCAACTGCTGTTGATTCGGAAATCCTCTGTGGCAGAAAACCTAAAATTTATTTAATTCACAGTAAGACATGAATCTGCACTGCAACAAATGTGAGAAGCTGGCATGGAAAACTAGATTTTTCCTAAAGAAAGGGAAACCACAATAAAGTCTCCTGTAACTGCAGAACGCATAAGATTTCACATGTGAATAGCAAAGCTGATGACCAATTTTACTATTTATACCAAGGAAGAGCTTTCATGCATCATAGATGACAACACCTTTTACCTCATTGGTTGTGATAATTGCTTACCTATTTTACTTCTTTTTCTAACAGAAAAATCTAGAAATTCTGTAGGCAAGACTTCTGCTAAAATATCCACTGAAACCCTGGAAAGTTCGAACTAGCATAAGAGGGCAGGGAAAATTTGGCTAAGTCCTTTTGAAACATTAAGCCATGCATCATTACCCAAGGGAGATGTTGGATTTTATTTATCAAAAGTTAAATTATTTAAAATAACAGACTCTTACAAGGTGCTGGAAAAGGACTGGTTTAAAAAAAACAGGACAGTGATAGGTAGCGTTGGGTGCAAGCAGTACATTGTATTCATAATCATTTTTTTACCTGTTTCCACTGGGGTATGGGAGCAAGACGGCCCTGCTCTCGTCTGCTGGATGGCTGGTTGTGAACACGTTCTTGATAAGGCAGGACAGGTTGCT